TGATGCATGCCATACACTCCATTGCTACTTTGTTGCAGTCCTCTTCTTTTCCTCTCTTCTTTTCTCTTTCTCCAAGCTTTCTATCCTCCTCTCCTCTTTGCCTATCCCTTTCTTCCTTTCTTCCTTTCTTCCATTTATAATGTATAATTGTATTTGTGTATTCGGGCGTATCCATTACAAGCTATGCTTATCGGGTTTCGCGCCTTCTTCCTTGTAATACAAGTTCTTTAATTATATTTATGTTCCTACGCATAAATTTTATTGTTTGATCAGATGTAATACATGTTGTCAAATTGTATTGAAGAAAATAAATGTTCATTTGAATTGAATTGAATTTGAAGATTTCTTTTCTTTCGTATTTGGCAATTTCCCTTCTCTTTCCCAGCATTGCAAAAATTCCGTTTTTTTTGTTGTTCCACTATTCCATTCCATACACACATCAACATATTGATGTTAATAAATCTGAATTTATAAAGTTCCTAATACGCAATATCGTCTTTAATCACACCACAGATACACTATTAGGTTCTGTAACCCTAGTCATCGGATTGTGTGCACGTGTGTGTGTCAGTTGTGTGTGCACCATCTCCACTCCATGGGGAGTATTCTTATCATATTGCTGACCATGAGGGCATTTTCTGTCACAATTACCATGTGATTATTGATTATTCTTTTGTGGTGATACCTATCCCATAGACTACATATCGTAATAATTCTCCTTTTCTGATCTCTGTCTGTACATACTCCTCCCTTCTTTCATTCGTCCCCCTATTCTCCCTCTCTTCCACACCTCTCCATTTCTCTTTACTGTCGCTGTTTCTTTTACTCTCTTGACCTTTGCTATATCTTATCAATGTTTAAATGTCTAACAGTTACAGTAAAGCATACACGTAGTTCTACAAAAATAAGGTCTTAATCAAACGTCCATTAATGATTATTTAGAAAGTCATTTTTATTTCTGAACTACAAAAGAATAGTAACATATTTTCTTTAGGATACATGATCGTCTGTTTGGAGCCAGAAGGACATTAACTTTATGTAAATTGATATGAGAGAATGCCCGCCTGGCTCTGAACTGATGACATGATGAACCTTTTTAAACAAGAATTATTTAAAAGTATATGATTGCATGCAACATCGTTTACACACTTCTTTATGAGACATGTATCTACGGAATACATGGGTATTAGTAATCAATCAAAAATATTGAAAATGAGTTTTCTCTCTGTGTTTATTAAAAATTAGGAAACAGAACAGGAAATTTAAATCACATTGCCATGCTTACAATCGAGGAAATTGATGCAAAGATATAGAGGTGGGTGCGTTTTCGCTATCTTCAAAATCTATAGATACTTCCAGGCCAGAAGACATACCACGCAGTCTATCTATTCAAGTTAAGATGTACGCTATTAACAATTAGGAAAATGCATTTAAAAGCCATAAATCGTTTCAATGAACGGTAGACTATAACAAAATGAACGGAGCTAACGATTGTTTCCAATTAATTACACTGTAATAATCACAAAATATTGTAACATACACACTGCAAACAACAAATTTTGAAACACGATAGCATCTACTTTAAACAATAATTAAACCTAAGACAATTTCAATAGCCTTGCACATCACCTATTGAAATGTGCGAACATGACAACGTAATCCAAACATGATTTATATGGGGCATACCATAGGGTATAGAAATTGCCCTTCAGTTCCTTACATGTATATGAAAATATTTTAGATCTTGTTTTGATTACAACTTTACAAGGCACTGCAGTTATAAAAAAATCTATGACATTCATGATACACTGCACTTATTAATCAATCTTCATAATATTTTGAAGAACGATAGCCCAAATATCCCCTGTGGAAATCGCCACAGAGCGAAATATCATAAGAGACCAACAGAATTAGATACCGTACCCTTGCCCTAAGCTTTAGAATAGCGTGGACCATACAAGGGTTTGTTGTTTAACAAGTTCATTAGGGTAGTTAAAAGTAGAAACACATAGAAAACGTAACTACCGGTACCTGTGAGGGATTCGATATCTATGGACTAGACACTCTTTTCAGATTTAGGATTATACTGGTAAACTGATGGTAAAGTTAAATGCCAGTTTTACAATCCAAGAAGATTCCTTAAGGTGGGAATGACCATCACATCAAGTAGCAATGTTGACACAGTGTACTAATATTTGTTATACTTATAAGATTATGTACATACTGGAAACAGATATTCTATACACAGCCGGATAACAGATATTCCCAACCCAAGCTTGCAAGAAATAAACCAGTTGGAAACTTAATACTACCACTACAAAGTAATAACTGAAATCATCTCCTTGCGAAATAGTTACATGATAGAGAATGTACATGATAAACAAAAAATAAACGTCAACGTGTCACTTATGGACAAACAAGCGTAAAGCGAGCTGTCTTTCGATGACGGGCTCCAAGTATATTGAGCGAGAGGAGCATGTGGGAACATAGGGCCAGTTTGGTAAAAGATGACCACAAATTGTTTCACATCATCTTGAACATTCAAAATATACAGCGTTTATATGTAATATTATCATTTCAGTTTATTATGAAATATAGGCACTTTGACACAGGGACCAAATCACTGCCGGAATATCGATATTAATTTATTTAAATGGGGAAGGAAGTGTACTTGCAGCACATATATGCCAGTGGTTATATGTGGTGACATATAGCAGCCAAACCAAACATTAACAAAACTAACAGGTATTGCCAGTCTACATGTCAAAACATGTAAGTCGTTGCAGTACACATAACTGAATGATGATGACCAAAGTATAATTCAACTATAAGCAGATCGAAAGTACAAAACAACAAATTGGAAACAGAGTAAGTATACAATTTAATTTTCAGGCCACTCTTTTTGCTTTGAATGAGTGTGTCATCCCGTTCGGATGACAAACTTTCAACAAGTTGTTCACTTATTGAAAGTTTGGAAAACCAAGACCAGTTAAGTAATGTGAAATAGGTATATCCTTAGCTGGGTTTTGAGGGGGAAAAAAGGGGAACATGAAATCAATTTGATTAAAAAACAAAGCTTTATAACAGGGGCAAACTAAAAAATAGGCCAGCATCTGACCAGTTAATTTTTGCAATTGCTCCCACCCTCTACCTGCTGCAAGCGTTATCCACGAATCTATACGGACAGCCGGTCGTACAAATCAGAGCCATCTATACACAGAGTTTGGCCAACTGGGTTTCACTGAGTCACAACATGGCGTATATTCTTTTGTTTTGTGCTTGTCCAACAAAGCAGTAGTCACCATATTGTGCCCAACTCTAAGCGGTTAAGCCAAACTCTCCTAATCAAAATTTGGGGATCACGCCATCTTGGAGCTTGCAGCAAATAAGGGGGAGATTGCCTTTTGGTGGAGATTGTTAAAAACCAGCCAGATCCTGGACTAAACTAGAAATGAAGTCCCCAAACCACTCTCCTACTTTACGGTGTGACAACTGTTGATAGATGTCGCTCCAGACATAACTGTGGTAGTATTCCCAGGACATCGTCTACATGATGTGCGCTGTGGGTGTGGTTGGTAGAAGCCTGGAGGACAAAGTGCACAAGGATGGAAGCCACTCTTGGAGAAATGTCCGGCTGGACAGGGCTCTAGAAAGGAGAATTATACAATAAATTGATTAATTACATGTAAAATATAAAAACTTGATTCTTTGAATTGGAAAACAATCAACTGAAGCTGAAATTGTTTTCTTCAGATTTATGATGATATGTTAATTTATTTGAGGCCAGAAAATCTGTTTCAGTAAAACAATACCTTTTTTTTATCACGCCAGTTTTTTCCAACAACTTGCCACTTAATTCAAATGACATCAATAATTCATAACTCTGAGGTTACTTAAAAAGTGTTTTGGAATGGCATTGCTCAAATAAATTTGAAGTCCTTGGAGATTACATTGTGCATATCTTCAGTTACATTCAAGTTCTAACCTTTGGTTTATTACCAATAAAAATGTTGATGATTTTTTTTTTTCAGCTTTTTTTTTTTCAGCTATTTTTTTTCAGCTTTTTTTTTTGGGGGGGGGGGGGAGGGGGACACGGTAAACAACAATGTAAAAGACATTACAGCATTATACTGTGTTTAACTGTGTACCGATAACCAGAGTTAGGTGGAATGTTCAAAATCAACTTTTAAAAAAATAGGTAAGTGAATGTAAACTGAGATATCTCTTTGTAGTACAGTAGTAATATCATAGTTTGACCACAATATTGCTACATGGAAGTTATTGCACCAAGAACAAAAAATGCTTTGGTGATTGCATCGGTAAACTTAAGTCTATGACAAAAGACAGACCTTCAACTGAGGTTAAGTAATCAACAATGGCCTAGCGATGATTTTCAAGAATGTCAGGTTGAACACACAGACAAAGCTTATCTCAATAAAATTCATTTATGATAGAATCATAATCATTATTTGAGAAATCACCTTGACAATCGTCAATAGACGTTCCGCTATGGTCTGGTGTGGTCAACTTAGGTGGACAATTCTCACAGCGAGTTTGACCATGAAGTGATTGGTACGAACCCTGCTCACACCGCATACAAGGAAAGAACCCAGTTGATGAGAAATGACCAGGACCGCATAGCACTGCGTAAGAATTAAATAGGGGGGGGGGAGTTAGGCAAGCGTATATACAGCACCCCTTCATTTATATAACTTTTGAAGTTATGGTTGAATCTATATGACTTCAGATTGATCAGAGTGATACAGAAAAATGTCATTGGTCGGGGTGACCATAATTAGCATTTTATGATAATAATAGCCTATATAATATCCTAATCTACTATCTGACAATGACATCAAATGCCATTAAGGCCAACAGATTATGATAATCCCTGAGTAAGGCGTCGACAAAATTGTCTGCTAATTACTGCCAAACCATCCCCTTTTCCTGTCACAGGATTACAAATGTTGCATAACGATATGTACTTTCATGAGTAGGCCTTACAGTAATAGCCTCTTGTTGGTACCTTCGCAATGATCCGAATGAGTTGCTCCTTGGTTTCGTGTCGAGGTTCCATTCTTACATGGCTTACAGTCAGTTTGAGCCTGATCATCCTGGAAGAAACCTTGTTCACACGGAGTACAGATCTCTGATGTGACATCCAGATAATATCCAGCAGGGCAAGGTACTGTAATTATTGCAAAGTAGTAAAAAGAAAGAAACACAATTGTTCATGTGTAAAATAATGCATGTCACATATGCCGTAAGAAAATGGTCCAAACCAAAATAATCATAAGGTACAGTTTCTCCCAGTTTCGCTGTGAACAATGATAATTAAAACATTGTTTTCTTTTCTGCGCTAAGATTAGAAGTCTCTTAAAAAGTGATGCAGAATATTGTTTTTCTTCTCATCAAGAAGAAAACTCATCAAGATCCTGTAACCACCCCCCCTCAGAATACGTATAAAAACAGACACATATTAATATAATTAAATGAAATGCAAATGAGTACTTTTTAAGCACTCTTACCACATGTTTGTAGATCTTTGTTTAGATAATGTCCTCGATCGCATTCCAATGAGATGTCTCCAAGGAGTAGAGTTGCTTCCGGTTTAAACTGCTGATGTCCAGGTTCCTCACGAACGTCCTCTCCCTCTTCCATAGTCCCTTCTGGGCCATCAGCTTCCATGATGTGGTGCTGAATGTGACTGTGTATGTGTTGTGCAAGACGATGAAGAATTTCCGCAGCCCCTTTACCTTCTCCGTCAATACCACGATTGTGATTGTTTGGGGGAGAAACCTGGAGCAACTATAATAGATAAGAAAAGAGAATTGCTTAAAATATAATATCTTGGTTTATTCCCTCAATATACGATGCACCCACTGACATGATTGAGAAATTATAATACCGAGAATTTGTGAAGAAATTATTTAATCAAAATATCAATATCACCTAAAACACATCACAGTGTTAGAGAAAATTTTGATTTTAATTTTAAAGAAAAGATATAAACTAAATATGATGACTGGGGTAATGTCTAAAGCGCTAGCACACAATGTAGCTTTATTCTTAGTATTGTCAAAGTCACAATAAATATTTGGAAAATTAAATTATGTTTACTGACACAAAATTCGTTAAACATTCTTGCCCAGAGATCTGATGCCAAAGTATAATAATTAAAACAAATGAATTAGAATTTGGATTTATAATTTATCAAATCGCATTTATTATATTTGAATTCATATTTTTTATGCATGATTCTTTTTTTCGACTTCGTATTTTTTTCTTCAGGATCTTATGAAGAAGAAAAATAACAAGATATTAACTGTTGTGGACGGATGGATTTCCAATGAGGTAGACAATGCCAGTTAAATGTTGTTAGTAAACACATCTCACTTAAACTTTATGAGCTATTCCTATTACCATGGTAACCTTCATGTCAGACCCTTCACGTTGTGATGCCATTTCCATGTTGGTGTCAGAAATGGAGCGCCTTCTACGGTCGGTCATGCTATCACATGATACATTAACATTGTCAACTGTACACAGGTGATTGTCTGTGCAAATATCATGGAAATAACTCTGCCGTATGATCTGAAGAAACTTTGTAGCTATTGTCTCCGTGCTTGCTGTGTCATGGTGAGAGCATGGTGATGGGTAGTACATTATCAGGGGTAGATTATGTCTGGATGACCTTGTTTCTGAAGGTGAAGTAGAAATAATGGAAATTGCAAATTGAAGGTAAGCAATCTTTAAGACTTCCATAATATCTACTCAAGTGTAATTTTGGTTATAGAGAAGTGTCATGTTTGGATTATGAAAAAGCCACTGAAAGGTTTGCAAATTTAAAAAGTTGAGTTATTAACAATTTCTCTGGTTGTTTCGTAGGTTAAGTTATTACAAGCGTCTCTGGTTGTTTCATTTAAAGTCTTGCTATCATGTTGAAGGTTGATTTCTGTTCCCATAACATATCGATTCATTTATACTTTATATTACAGAAATGAAAAGAGAAACCTGAAATGATTCTTTATTAAATGTGAACCTGTGAGCAGTATCATTTTAAAATTTATTAAATGGTTCATTAAGCGATTACTCTTTGTAGATGTTGACGTGGACTTAAAACTTGCTTTGAAGGTGTCTAAGTCTAGTAATTCAAGTACTTGACAGGAACTACAAAAGTTATGAGTTCGACCCCTACATGGGCACTAATATTCATTGGCAAGAGATTATTTTGTATTTGCCACTCTCAACCCGGGAGAAAATGGGGACCTGGTAGGATGGAAGCTTTTGATTTAAAAATCTCCACATGAGCGGAAGTGGAAGGGTTGCACACTGTGCATGAATGAATCCGATGACCAGGGTAATACAAATATCTATAAAGCGCTCAGAGATATTTGGTATCAAGCGATATATATAAATCTAGAATTTATAAATTATTATTATAAGAAGCCAGGTTTAATTCCACATCAACAGTCACAAAGAATAAACGAGTCGTGAATCCATGTAATAAATGAACACAATGATACTGCTCATAAAACAAGGTACTGTTTAACTAGCGACCGCAAAAGCTTTTTTCTTTCTTTTAGGTTTTTATGACCTGTTATTACGTTGAAGTTTAAGTTTCATTTTTTTCAATATTTCATACCAAAAGAGGAAGAAGTGCAAGTTTGATTGACCTAACAGTCTATTGCATAGAGGAGGCAAAAAATTAAACCCTCTTTTGGTACATTTTGTCTAATATTTCAATTTCTATCAAGGTGAGATATTAAATCAAGCCTATACTTGAATATTTATGAGATGTAGACGCTTTGCCAGGTACCTGAACAGTCAGGAACAAGATGTTGAGGAAACCATAATCCAGAGTTACCGCAGATGAACAATTTCATGGTGCTTGTACTTCCTTGCCTAGACCTTACACGTGGGACATCATAGCCTTCTTCACAGAGAACACTGCAGGACCGACCAAAGGCAAAGTTGTCACAGGCCAGTGCTCCATGTGCAGGGATGGCAAGAGCTGCGCAGGAAATGGCTGCAGCGAAGAAAGAATTAATGCATGACATACTTTGAAATATTACTGTACATCTATGACCTAGCTGTAGTTCATTAATACAGTTCAACCCGATTCTTGGTCTAAGACCACATTTAACAAAGGGAAACTTAGACCCCAGAGTCTCAGACTAACCTCCTTTGGCTTTGTTATAGCCCGGATTTTGAAGAAAAAAAAATAGAATAATGGGCCTACGATTTCATGCGACACATTAGAGAGGAAATACAACCAAAAGATAAGTGTACTATCTCTACATTTCAGATATTATATAACCCACACCTGCTGAAACTGGTTGAAGCCAACACGGTAATAATTATAATGATCTGACATTGAATTCATGCATGCACAATCGTAATTGTACAATACTATTGTGTAGATATATTCAGTTATTAACACATGACTATCGAATATTCATTAAAAAACGTGATGAAAAGAATTGTTTTCAATCGAAATCGAATGAGATTATAATGAAAGGACTATAAAAACAGTAAATCAATCAAATACTGATTTTATTTAAGAATCTATTCAATATGTTCAAAAGGAGGCCTGTGATGCAATCATGGCAATATTGCTGTTTCCCGACCCTTTTTAGATGTAATTTTAATTTATTCAGTGGTGTACATATATTTCAAGTCGGTCGATGCATCCACCGATAATTAAAACTTGTATGTTTTTCAATTACTGTTCTCATCTAGCAGGTGTTTTTCATGCTAATGATAACTACGTCCACAGCTGGGACATAATTGTCATGAAGTCACTTATTTTACCACATTTTGCAAATCTTATTGATTCCTTTTTTCTTTTCTTTTTGATATGTGTTGTGAAGTAATAAATAGGTCACTTGCGTTCCATCTTAATTGGCAAAATGATCACGATAAAAAGAGAAACTTACGTCTGATTTTGAAGGGCATTCTGCACGCAGCCTGCCAACCACTGTCAGGGTCGGTAACATGGCACATGATGTCATGATCTCCCCAAGGAAGTTCTACAGGACTTTTTGGAGTGTTGCAAGATGTCACCAACTCAACACCGGGCATATCCATGTACAAGGGTTTTTCCCAGTCGACAAAACCGACTCTTTCACTTGTATTCATTTCACGACCAGATGGGCATGACGTGATAACTGGTTGAACTTCATCTGGAAAACAGATAGTGGTGATTTATGATAGTTCAAATAATTACCTCATAGGCACTTACACGCATTTGAACAGAATTTTTGATATTCATTATAGAGTGGATAAACAAATATATCTATAGGCTAAGAGAAGGGTATGCACAAAAGTTAGATTATTTTCTTACATATAAATATATATATATAAATAGGCAAAATATCTATTTCTTGTGTATTTCATACAAGTTTTGTTCGTTTGATTGTAAATATTGCAAAGCAAAGCTGTTATGTACAGTACGTTGCTTTTGGATGTAACTTTTCAAACCAGCCACCCGCGGTTAGTTTGTGAAATGGGGATATCTGTATTTCAAACACGTTATGTAATATGAACAATTAATACTCACTAGTGATGTCAATTTTGAAGACACAAGACACACTATTCCCTGCATCATCAGTGAATGTGTATGTACATGTTGTATCAGACGTGAAGGTGTAGGGGGACGTTAAATCTAGAGGGTCAGTGGTTACTTGTAGTGCCATGTCAAAGTTATCTTCTGCTGATGGGTAGAAGAAACTCTCCTCTACACCCCAATACTCAGTACGAGTAGCCATGATATGTGGTGGGCAATAGATGAGTGTAGGGGGGATTTCATCTACAAAGAAAATAATACAACAAAATTACGCCTCGACCGGCTGCTATCGACTCAAGCATTCTTGCTCATGATAGTTGGCCTCTGCATTTATCTTGATTATTTTTACTAATACCTCCATACTTTCAAGTTTTCAATTATATATATATATATATATATATATATTTTTTTGTGTGTATTTAAGTTGTCACTCTTTATGTAAATCAATTATATTATAAACTATTATTGTTACTTGAATATTTTAAATTTGATTTATCAATAAATGCAGAAACATCTGCTAAAAAAAAATATTTAAAAATTGTTTTCCTTTTAATGATGTCGCGGGTGCTATACGTTTCACATTACTGCATCTTACAACAAAAAACTCAGTTAATACGCATATGACATCTGTTACCCCCAGTGGTTGATATTCGTTTACAAAAACAAATAGCAATTAAATAGTAGTAGTAGTAGTAGTAGTAGAGAAGAAGTAGTAGTAGTAGTAGTATTAGTAGAAGTAGTAGTAGTAGTAGTAGTAGTAGTAGAAGTAGTAGTAGTAGTAGTAGTAGTAGTAGTAGCACTAGTAGTAGTAGTAGTAGTAGTAGTAGTAGTAGCACTAGTAGTAGTAGTAGTAGTAGTAGTAGTAGTAGTAGTAGTAGTAGTAGAAGTAGTAGTGGTACATTGTAGCAGTAAAACTAGTATTAGAAGTAGTATCAATAGTATAAATACTAGTAGTAGTATTAGTAATACAACTAGTAGTAGTGATGGTAGTGGTCATTGGAGTGGTTATGGTAGTACAACAATTCGTCAAAAGATAACTGGTTGGCGGCTGGTCTTTGGTTTTTGCGGGTAGTAGCTGAACATTTATTTTGGGTTGATGTCCTTCAGCAGCTAATCGGCAACCAATTTGTAAATATATAATTGGCAGCCAATATACCATCGATCGCCAACAAACTACTACTGTTCTTGGACCTTCGCTGTGTCTTTGGTTTACAGATGGTGCAAAACACTTTTGCGCAGTTATTAATCACCACAAAGGCACAGAATATGACAAACAGTGGCCAAAATTCTGCAACCAGTTTATACCGTATGTATGTTAACCTTCACACAGGTTATTTCACACAAACCTTCAACTTTTAATGAATAAAGTATTATTTTACCTGTGATAAACCCATTGGCACCAAGTCCCAGAGTATAATTTCATTTAAATTTATGGGGTTTAGTCAGCTATTGTTTTCACTGGTTGCAGCATTCTCGGTTGTCTCTGGTTAATGACTGGTAGCTACTCTAGTGTGACTTTAGACTTACCCTTGCACAGGAGTGACACTGTATTGAGTTCACGATCCCACTCTCCCGTATTGAGGCAAGTCAGAGGTTCATTGTCCCCTTCTAACGTCAGGTCGAAATGACAGTTCAAAGTACAGACTGTCCCGCGGGGCACAATATCCGATTCAGAGCACGCTTCCGGAGAAACTCGGATTAAATCAGGAACAAGGAGTGGGGCACAGCTGATTTCTGAAAATCATAAGATGTGAAACAGTTATCACCTTTAATGGTAGTGGCATTATGATTATAATAAAATGAGTGTTAGCCAGAGAGCACAAAGAATGGTGGCATGAGATGATGATCCAGTTATAAGTGTAAACTAAATTAGGTAATTAAGCTGACGGCTGCTTTACACCTAGCTAGGGTCCAACATATACACCCATTTTCTTTTCATCTTTCTTACCTTCACAAGAGGCCTCTTCCTCGAATTCCCATAACATCTGCGCAGATGCATCGAACTCGCAGCGTCCGATTGGGGAGCCCACTAAACGGTACCCTTCAGAGCATGCTATGTGGCATGTAGAGCCGTGGGTGTTGTCGCATTCATCCACTATAATGCCTTGTGCAGGAGGAGTTAGGGGTTGACACTGACGTGCTTAAAAAGAAGGTTAACGGTCTTGTCAATGATGAAATATTGATTATAAAAATCTTCATAATAATACTTATAACAAGTGAAGGTGCGGGAAGGGGCAATTATGGCTCAGTAGTAAACCAGTCGTCTTGTTAATGGGAGGTCCTGGCATCAATGCGCTAATATACCCTTTGGTGAGGAATTAAGTAATTAGTCCGTTGGAGGACGTAATACCATTTGTCCCCTGTGCCTCACTTACAAGCATATTCATGCTTTCTTTTCATTTAATCTTTTCACGCTCATAGAAATTAAGCCCAGTTTCATCAACATTGGCTGAAGTCATCACAGCAGTAGATAATTTCTGGGATTTTCAAAGGCGTCTTGGGGATAACTATCTGAGTGTAGATTTTGTGGGTAGTTGTCTAGGTGTAAAGTGTAAGCCAAGTATGTGTTAGGCTAAGTCTGTGGTCTAGCTGGGGTGATAGTGACAGTAAAATATACAGAAAAACGAAAGAACTGAAATGATGAGGATAGCCGAACGAGGAAACACAATTAATATTAATTAACTCTCCCCTCCTCCCACTATTAAGCATTTGCCCCTTCAGCAGCTGGACCCTTGCTACGCCACTGGGCCCTGTAGTATATGAAGAATCCTACCTTTGACCTCCACTCTGAATTGACAGGTAGCCTCGTTACCGGCTTCATCCATAGCACTGCATCTGACGACATGTACACCTATGGTCAAGATTCCAGGTTGGGGATTACAGATCACTACCGGTTCTTGTGATGGGTCATTGTCCGTAGCGACTATTGACCATTCCACATTGGCCTTATCCGAGCTTTTGATCGCAAAGGCAACAAAATCTGACGGACAGTCCTCAAATACTGGTAGCTGTAAATCTGAAACAAAAGGTGACAATAAGGTTTCCATAAACATCACATTCATTTGCTTGATGCCACATCTTATGAAGGCAATTGATAAACATGTACATACATTTTTCAAATTCTATTGCACAATTGTATTTTTCAAAAAGAAATTTTAATATCGAATTCCCCAACAAAAAAAGATAAATTATTATTATCTTTACACTGATACATGCAGCTCTAAAAGACAATTAACTAGTTTTTCAAATTCCTTTATGTTGAAAATTCCAAACATAACTTAATATCTTTATCAAAAAAAGACAGAAAACCTATCAAAATAATTTAAATAAACCATCGTCCTACTATGGCTCATGTTTACGTAGTGGAAGTATGAATGTAAACTATACTTTCCAGTAGAAAACACTCTTTTCGACAACTAAACTATATATACGAGCAGGCCTTTTTAAGTAGATTCTTACCCACGCATTGAGCTTGTTCTACTTGGCCAGTCCAGGTCTGATCACTGGAACAAGTAACCTCCTTCAAACCAGGAGGTGTTATCTTGAAACCAGACTGCTCACATTCCAGTGTACAGACATCACCGAAGCGTGGATCGGACAAACAAGTCTCTGGTAAGATCGTAATGGATGATGGTTCAGACAGCGCCTCACATGGTAATCCTTGAAAAGAAATGAACAAACTTGTTTTTAATACATACTTGACCAATAAGATCATATTATATGAATAGAAAGAATTGCTTGAAAACAATGTAAAATCACTGATCGAATGACAATGTTTTATTTCGTGAAATTAATAATTGCCATGATTATGTAAAAGAGCAAATTAAAGAAGCATAATATTTATAGCATATTATGACATTTTGTTTAAAAGGAAGAGTTAGTTAACACTCTCAGGAATGGTAGGATTATTCCAATTAAATGTATAAAGGCTAGTTTCTATTAATAATCATAATAATAATATTCCGTTTTTATATAGCGCTCAATACATCAATCCAACGATGTGCCAAAGTGCTTTACAAGTATATTATTACCCCGGTCATCAGGCTTACCCGCACACAATGTGTGCACATTTCCACTCCCTGGGGAGCATTCCAGCCAGTCGCCATTTTACAAGCGCACACTTGCTCGTTCAACCACGTGACCGTTCGCATCCTACCGGGTTCACATTTACTGGGTGGAGAGTAGCAAGTGCAGGGTAAATATCTTGCCAAAGGATATTAGTGCCGTGTCAGGATTCGAACACTTGACCTATTATCAGTAACGGGAATTGAGCTGATGACTTACTTTCACATACAAAGCTTGTACTAGACCACACCTCTTCTTCCAGACAGGTCTTTGTGCTCTCTCCAATGCCAGTATAACCAAGCTCACAGGAGAATGTACAAATAGATCCAAAAGGCACGGGTGAACTATCACAGCCAGAAAGAGAGGCAAACTCAGGAATACGCAGAGATGGACATGTTTGTACTGTTTTGAAAAAAGCGAAGGAAAATTACAAAACCGGTCTTTTTAAATAGCAAATGAAAGAATTGGTTAAAAGCAAGACTATATGATACCCAATAGTAAAGTAACGACCTGGGCCCTGTCTTAAACAGATTTTTGTTTTGTACAATTCTTTATTGCATTAATTCAATACATGTACATAAAGAGTTGATATTAATCGCAACTTGTGATCGATATATCAATCGCAACTATGTACCTACGGGCTAAAAGCTTGTATTGTTCTTCATATGTTGATAGTATAGTATAAAAATAAATTCCTAAACACAGGAATATGAATATCTGTCTCCCTTCTCATTTATCAATCAAGATATTAAAGCAAAATTAAAAGAAGATAGCAATTATACTCACTAAGGCAAGTCGGAGTTCCGTCATTCCATGCAGACGTCCCATCTGATGTTAGTTCACACTGCAAACTTGATGTACCCTCCAGATTATAGCCGACATCACACGAGATCACGCATTCACTTCCAACGAAAGAGTCATCGCAGCCACTTACAGACCCGTGAAGGGGCGGTTGTTGGGCGTTGCATCGGATAACTTAAACCATCACCAGAAAGGCGGAATAAAAAGATTTCCTTTTTGGTTAATGTTTGTTTTCATTTATTCATTGTTATATCATTTTGAGCCTCACATCTAAATAACTAGGATACAATGACTTTACGCTTCAACGCTGTTGGATATATTCCACAGAAAAGAAACACATGTTTTCGTGAGGAGAAAAATGTTTTTGTCTCCATTACAAACATTATAAAAAGATACTAAATAAGTTTATTGGTCACTAAATTTGTTTGAATATATTAATATTATTGACTATTTTCTACCTGTCTCTCTTCCATTGCGCTGTTATCTTAAGTCTGTCACTGCTAGCCGTCTTATTGCGCCTCTTTGGTCTATTTGTTTTATGATTCTCAATACATTCCGAGACTTACCATTCACTGTAATGATAATGTCGCAGAATGAAGTTAGTCCAAAAGCATCGGTTGCCTTGTATCTAATTCTTGTATCGCCTTCTGGAAATTCACTTCCTGGAGCGTACACCAAATCCAGTCTGTTGTACATTTTTGAAAACATACAGTTAAACAATCAATGTACTGGAAAATATAACATGATCGTTTGTCTTGAAAAGCGAGCAATGCGACACGAAATGTGAACTTGATTTGATTTGATTTGATTTATTTATTTCTGTTTGATTTTCTTTTTCTTTTGCATTTTTACAAATATATATTTCACTTCTTTCTTTTGAAAGAGAAGGATTGAGTGTCAATATGTAAAAAGGAGAACCACGACCCTGGGGGGGGGGGGGTGTGTTTCGCAAAGATTCTTAGTGGAACTTAACTCTTAGTTGGACTTAAATATTATGGAGAGCCATTTGTAGCCTTAAAATGAAATCTACTCAAAAGCGAAATTCAAGTATTTTAGACTTTTTATAAATCACATGTCGAGTACATGAATTCTCCTTGATAATAAAACAAATATGAATGATTTGAATCAACATTTTATGCCTTTTAAAATAACTGTTAAAAATAATTTCAAAGATGCTAAAGGCCTTCCATAATTGTTAAGTCCAACTTAAAGATAAGTTCAACTTCGGATCTTTGTGAAACACCCCCACTGGAATAGACGGAAAGATAAAGGGGCGAAGACTATAGCAGTGGTCATGGTGGCAGCAGAAGCAGTATCATTCAAGTTGCTTATTTGCTTGATGACCTCCGCACCTTGAATGTGAGTATCATGAATATGACTTTGTTTACTCATTATTAGCCTCATATTATACAAATATCGAGTGCTTTGGGACACATGATTGCCCTTAAATGATCTTGAACCTGTACGGAAACTGTGAAGCGCAGTCCCGGAACGTCCGAGGATCTATAGTTATATCAGCAACCCGAAACTAAGCAGTGAATATTTTTGGTCTATACCGTGTTAATTCTTTAAAAAGAGACATATTTACCAATAGTAAAGTGTATTCATTTGGAGGGCTTGAATCAAAAGAAGAGCATTGCTTGTATCTCACCGCGCGTATCCATAACCAACTTCACGGGCAACCATTGCGATGTAGGCCTTCTTGCAAGTAGAACTATGACCGGTCACTTTCCTTTTGTTATAATGCCAAGAAAACAGTAGCTAATTTAATTCCTGCAGTTTTGACCGATCTCAGACCTAGACTCTTCATAATTTTTATGGTGGTACATAATGTCGTAATAATTACCTCGTTATGGTAACATTTCCAGAGATGTCAATTGGAATGGGTTCCTGAAAGTATACTTCCGCGGTGGTGCGTCCACTTAGAGCATCAGCATTAATGCGATGAGGGCAAGCCGTGTCGAATGTTGGAGCTTGTATATCTAAGAGAAGCGGAATTAAAGGGGGTAAGCCAAGCCCAGAAGACATTCCAAAAGAGAAAATGATTCGATACCTAGATACCCTCTCGTTGTACCGTTTTCAGAAGATTGGACGCATTACAAAGTGATTTTGCAGGGCTTGTTTTAACATTGTGAAATCCTTACTATTTGTGAGAGGTGGTGAAAAAATCAAGATGTTATAGAAGAGAACGTGCAAAATCTACTTCGGTCGATTTGTTTATATATTTTTTTAATTTTTGCTTGCTACAAGTCATTAAAATACGTGCATCATCTTCACTACCTGTGGAGTATTACGTAGCCAATGGTGTGTCCATAGCCATGTCCCACAATACATCACTAAGTGCATGATGCGTGCATGGTGATGTTCGGGTACAGTAACCGGAAATCACACTATGTACGCTTTCACAGAAAGATGCGAAAATTAAAATACATGTACATTGTACCCCTACCAGCGATGCCAGTAAAATATCCTGAATTTAATTCACCTGTCTCTGTTTCGATAGTTAAATTAAACTGTTTTGTCAAGTTACATTGATACCATGACTAAGGTATTTGGAATAGCGACTACTTCAAATCAAACATAAGCAACGATCTGTCTTCTGCAGGCTAACAGTAACAGTTTGATTGAATGTTCACATTTTGTTGATATCGGGGAGGGGGGTAACAGCTCCCCTTCCCATCATCGCATTGTACAATCCTCACTCAATTACTCATGTAATTCATGGGGGCCTTATAAGTTTGTGTTGTTGTTGACATTTGCTTGTGATATTTTAACAGAAACCTAACTTTGTAACTACAATTATAAATGATAGAAAAATAGGGTTGACATACCAACGCAGAAGGAATCACCATTTGGGCTCCAATTTCCGTCCGTATTACACAACACAGTGCCAGGACCTTCCAGTCGAAAACCAGTGTGGCATGCAAACTCACATGTGAAACCAAATTGGACGGAATCAGATGAGAAGCATTCAGATGGTGATACACTGCCGTAGGGGATGACCAATCGAGCTGGGCATTTCATTAAATCTATTATATATAAACACATAAAGGAAACACTTAAAAAAGAAATGAGAAAGATTTTCAAATGAAAAAATCTTTTCAATTTTTAGTAGCGTACTAAAATGCACACGGATATTTCCTTATGACACGAGTTTCCCTGTATGACTAGACCCATATATGGTACACCTCTGATGAGGGCTATAATCACATTAAGTTTCGCACTTGCAAAACTCTTTATATTCAGTTTATTTTTATTTTGTACACTACGTTTTTGCGTATGTGTTCGTCAAATGTACGAAATGTATCATTATGGTAAAGGAAATGTGTTCGAAAAGGTAATAGAGAAACTAATAAATTAAATCAAAGTTGTTCAAAGGAATTCAAATATTTATGCAGTTTGGCTATAATAATAATAATAATAATAATTGTAAATTTATAATGCGCAGTTTCTATATGTATATACTCAACTGCGCATGACATAATGATAGTAAAAGGAACAATACAAATAAACATTTAAAAGTTAAAATCGATGCTAAGGGGGAACCTGTGTATGCTTTACAATGAAAATGTCTATGTAAAACTTTCCTGAAACAGATAGGTTTTCAGGTTATTTTTAAACACATTGATTGATGATGCATGTCTAATTGTGGCAGGGAGACTATTCCAGAGTTTGGGTGCAGCGCTAACAAAGGCGCGGTCACCTAGAGTAACCTTTGTTTTACAAGGTGGAAGACTCAGGAGCATGGTATCATGGGAACTACGGAGCCTGTAGGACTGGGTGGGTGATTTTAACGTCAGGAGTTCACTGAGATAAATGGGGGCCAAGCCATGGAGTGCCTTATAAGTAAGGAGGAGTATTTTGAATTTGATTCTCTGGCGAACTAGAAGCCAGTGCAGATCATGAAGTAGTGGGGTTACATGAGAGAATTTGGGGGAATTGCAGATGAGTTTGGCACATGCATTTTGTACACGTTGTAATTTACATATCTGAGATTCTGGTAAGCCAAACAGTAGTCCATTACAGTAGTCCAATTTGCTTGTTATGAAGGCATGGACTAATGTAATGATACATGTGCGAGTTAGGTATTTCCGAATGTGACGTAGGTTGTACAGATGATAGAAGGCTGCTTTGCATGTTTTGGATATATGGGTCTCCATGTTCAACTGAGAGTCAAACCAGACACCAAGGTTTTTTGCAACCATAGACCGCTCGACTACAGTATTTCCGACTGTTATACAATTTATATTAAGTTTTGACACTTGCCTAGGTATTCCAATAATAAGAAATTCAGTTTTGCTGTCGTTGAGTTTCAACTTACAGCTTAACATCCACCTACGAAGATCCCTTAGACAGTGTTCAAGAGCTGAAACACAGGACTGTTCTTGTTCCCTGACTGGGCTACATGAAATGTATAACTGGGTATCATCTGCATAGCAGTGACAAGATATGTGCTGAGAGTATGCTTTGATGATAGCAAAAAGGCGACTCGAATAAAGGGAAAAAAGGAGGGGTCCGAGCCTGGAGCCTTGAGGAATACCCCATCTAACATCTATATACATGTAGTTAAAGACAAACAGGAATAATTTGTTTGATACAACGCGTTATAATCTCAATTCATATCACAATGCTTTAAATATAAATATGAATGTAAGTAAAGATATTTGGTACATAATTATGGAACTAAAATTAATGGGAATTCGGAAAGACAATGGAAAAACAGGGAGATTCGTACGAACGCATTGTTCGTACGAACCTTTGTGACCGTAGCTTAAAGCAGTCGATATTTGTGTTTTATAACATTCACATCGTAGTTTACCTGTGCACTGAAAATCCTCCCCACTCCACTGAGAGTCTGCTTGACATGTACGCAAATAGTTCTCCTCTTCAGAGGGCGCCCTATAACCAGGTTTGCAAGAAAACCCGCACGATGTAAGATAGGCCACTGTAGAAGACAGGCAATCTGACAAGCCATTTGTAACGTCAGGAACTTCACACCTAACAACTGTAAATAAAATAAATACAGTTATGAAATCGGAACGTAATCACAGTTTGAATCTTATCATCATGATTAAGGTAAGCTGTTTATTATTAGCCCAATGCTCAAAACTTATAAAGAAGTAGGATTAGGATTAACAAGTGACAGATGTTTTTTGTCAAATCTACTGAAATAATACTGCGGAAGACATTTGCTATATGTTCACATAACAATTGATGAAATCAAACAATTCGAACCCCCTGAATTTTAAAATACTTAATATTTCTTATTGCTACTTAATCCTTACTCTCACAGACTGGGTCAGGGCCATTCCACATTGCATCGCAGTTTGGGCCAGACTCTGAAATATCACAAGTTCTGTTCAAAGACCTGCCCCCTGTTGACAAGGTATAACCAAGCTCACAGCTGATGCTACACACCGATCCATACACAACTCCTCCATGACATGATCCCACTCCTGTCGCTAAAGACACCATGGTGTTCTCAGGAATGGATAATGGCGGACATCTGCAAACTGCAAGAGGACATTTATTTATTTAAAGTTTATATAGAATATTTCATAAGCTGAGCATCTGAGAATTAATTCTTTGTTTCGAATACTGCGATCAATTAGTAGGAGACCTCTAGCCTCACGTAAAATAAGTGGACTTATAATACTTTGTATGCTAAACACCTTTATAGGGGTAAATCTCTGAGGAGCATGAATATCGGCGTATATGGCCATGCATTATTGCTCAAGGCATGGGCACACAGAGGATTTTTTTATGTTGGGAACCGGGGTAAAATGCAATAAATTATTGAAAATTTATTGCACTTTCTTTGTTTTTTTATTGATGGAAACTGCCCCCTACCCTAGCCCCCGCTGCGTACAGTCATGGTTCAGTGACAAAGCAATTGCCTCATAACTGTGAGGCCCCAGGGACAAAACCGTGTCGATGTGCTATATTAGTGCCCTTTTGTGGGGCGTTAATCCTCATTATTGTCATTTATGACTTAACGGCGTAGGTCCCCTAGTTGATAAGCATAGTAGCATACACATGCTTTAGCAGTCACGTAAAACACACATTGGCAAATTATCATTCAATAAAATCTGAGAATGTATACTATTATCTAGATCTATTATTTTTAAATTATTTTTAAAATAATTCCATAAATTGGGGTAAAACAAAAATATTCCAACTATATGAGCGACAGTGTATTTCATATTATTACAACTGGACATTCAACAAGTTCAAAAACTGTGTAACAAAAACAGCAAATGCCCAGTGGATATACATGTAGAGTAAAGAAATGTTTTACCTCTGACTGTGACAGAGAAAGAACAATCGACCGTATTCCCAGACGCGTCTTCTGCCTCATAAGCCAGTGTATGACTACCTTCTGAGAGCGAGGATGGGCGGTTGGGTCCTACTTCATCGGAGTTAATGCTGTAAAGAGTTGCTTCAATGCTCATTCCGAGATCTGAGGCCTGCGGGAATAAACGAATGGAGGATTTTTCCTATGTTTTTTTGTGTGTTTGTCCTTTTTTTGTTGGAAAACGCCATTGAGTTTTCGAAAAGTCTGCCATTTTTGTATGTACCACCGTTTGAGATACTTACGTATTGGCTAGTTATTGTAAAATATGGTTTAACACGCCTATAACGTCTTTCCAAACCAATAATTTCAAATAGTTATTTTAGAAAACAAGATAAATTTGGATTGAAAGATGATAAAAATGTGAATTTTAGAGCAATATTTAGAAAGAATCGATTGGACTCTTACTTACACAACCAATTATTTATCATGATACGACTCTATCCAAATGCCATTAGAGAACAATTTGGAAACATGCAGTTGCAAAATTGGAAACCGTAGTCTATCGTCAATTCAATTTTTGGCATTACGTACAATTGAGTTAATCACAATATTTCAAGTGACAGACCAGAATAGGCTCCCATCGGCTCCATTGTATCTCGCTTGAAGTCACTCCTGGATCAGCCTCCAGCACGATATCCTCAGGGCAGGTTAGGTCAGGTGGTGTTATGTCTGTCATAAAATGTCATAAGGTTAATACATTTTATGTATTTTCCCTCTCGATTTCATTTCTTCTAGAGAAAGTGTCTTTAGCCACAGAATATACGTGATTGAAACGAAATTGGAAACAAATGTTATATGGAAGAATAAATGATTGAGTCAGGTGAAGCCAATTGCCATGGTTGTTATGAGTTGCATATTAATAGATACAATCCAAAACATGACTTCTGAGTTCAGACGTATGAAGAGCTGAATTCAAAAAGGGGCTAAATCAACCTTTTACAGAAATTGATTTTTCAAATGAATATGTGCATCCTACACATGAGCATCAAAGCTCTATATTGCACTTCAAAATATTTTCGAAAAGTAGAACATTTCGAATACAAATTTTCATTAAATTCCAAAAGGAGTTCAATCCACTGTTGCGATTAAGAATTTGATCATAACTTTGTTCATTCAACTACATATCCGTTTCCCAAAGTTAAGTTTCACGGTTTTCGTGAAGTAACAACTTAAAGGACCAGTGCATATTCAAATTATTTTAACAAATATTTCTGGACTTAGTTCCTTTTGGAGTGAAACATATAAAAGCGTTGTTCATAGAGGTATTTCTTTTTTCAACATCCATTAGACATTGGAAAGATGAAGAAATTTGCTCTTCTAGCAATATTTTTTTTTTCGCATTCAATTTGAACCCGTCTTTTTGTTCCAGACAATGGCGTTTTCCTGCTGTTCACCTACCTCTGCATAGCACTTGAATCCCATCCCATTCACCAGTAGCCAAGCAAACTCTCATATATGAGCCTTCGACCATTGAATAGCCATCCTCACACCCAAAATTGCATGAAGTAGAATATTTCTGTCTTTCTGATATTACAGTTGATTCGCCATTGTATGAGCAGCAGTTCACGGTAGTGACAGATGATACTGGTTTCGGGACTGAACAGGTCACCACTGTTCAAAGATAGAAAAGAAATCGTAAGCTTACAACAACTATTGTAATTTTATTTATTGTAATTTAGTACACAATGGTTAACAAAACTGAATATTTAACTATAAAGGCGAGCGCTGCAGTCAAGATTTTTGTGTGTGGATATATAGCAAATCTAGATCCAGTTACACGTTAGTCCATAACGCTGGTACGATCTGTTCCGATACAGGTGTCTGTTCCAGAATTTGTGTTAAATCAAACGGGCTGGACTAAACTACGGGTTAATATTTGGGTTCCTTCAAGCACTAAAATGAAGGTCAATTCATATTTTTCTGATAGGAAAATCTCGATACAGTAAATAGCTGAAAAATTTCGGTATCTTATACTGTGTATCTAACTTTCCTATCATAACATAACAAACACCAAAGAGTAAAGTCTTACAGGTGCATCCGATGGAATCTCCAGACCAAGTCCCAACACCATTTCCATCGTCTGAGCATGTCATTTCACCAGATCCGGTAGGTTCGTAGCCTTCTTGACAGGAAAGTGTGCAAACTGCCCCGTAGTTTAGTTGTTCGGCTGTGCAGCCTTGTTTCACAGCGAACATTGGGACAGATAGGTCTGCAACTGCACAACTTATTACTGTAAAAGTAAACGATAGAAAATGTTTATTAAATGCCTTTAAAGATGACAGTTTAAAATGGGAACTTAAATCTATTTTAATCTACAAAATTTGACATCTAAATGGCCATTCACTTGAACATAATATTCAGTTTGAAGGCTGAATGGATGTCGTGTCGCGACCGTCCACTTAGTTCATTGAGGCAGTACATAATTTTTAGTATGTGGCATTACAATTCAAAAATTCTCGTACTTCCTATTTGTTGTCGTCACAACTAGAATGGGTTCGACCGAATAGAATTAAAATGACCTACTACATGTACTCTCATAATTATTTTGAATTTGTTGAGTTTTCTTTAGAAACTTTAGAGGTGTTGTGATATAATAGATAAGTCACCGGATTATGAATCACACGGCAATATGTCCTTTGGCAAGACATTACTCATCATTTGCCACACTCAATCAAGGTCAAGGCAATGAGTACCCGACAGGAATCAATTCCAGAAAATATTACATATTGCACATGAAAACTGCAGACAGTATGTATTTAAACGTATATATATACAGTGTGAGTCAAAAAAAGGTTTACACCTAGAAAACTAATGATTATTTTAAAAATCATCTATGAACAGTAAATTATTATACATCTTATGAAAGAGTTTTTGTGTGGTATGTGTTCACGCTTGAATGAACAGGAGGCATTGTTTGCAAGAGTGCAAAAATCGACTTGCGCCAAAGTGGCTTTTGTGATGCTTGAATAAAACAATTGGGATTTGGGTATTAATTCGGTCTTTGCAAATCCAAATAACATCCCTAACAAATTTAATTATGCCACACATATCAAATATCGAATATCAAATATAAAAGAATATTTGTCCGTGTGTGTGTGTGACTTTGCTTCTGCAAAAAGCATATGCAATGCATTTCATTTGATACATTCAATTCATTCTCTCACTCCGCTAATCCCAATATAATACATGCTCAGCTGTAGGCATCACTTTGGCGCAAGTCGATTTTTGCACCCTCTCAAACAATGCCTCCTGTTTATTTAAGCGTGCACACATAGCACACAAAAATGATACCAAAAGATTTGGGGTAAAACACTCTTTCATAATATGTATACTAATTTACTGTTCATAGATGATTTTTTAATTAATTAGCAATTTTCTAGGTGTAAACTTTTTTTTCTACTCATACGGTAGCTGGATATGTTGGTTTTGTATAACGCATACTTAAAGGTATAGACCAGTTCTGGACATGCGATTGCATTGTGAAAAAAACGTTTTGGAATCGATCAAAAAAGGCTGATCATCTAGCTTTATAAGTATTGGTGTGTACTGCAAGGTTCTGGAATCATCAAAATGATAAGGAATTTGGCCAAGTCTTGGGAAAGTTACAAGCACTGTACACAGAAAGATGTATATGGGACTACCCTATATCTATTCAGTCCGGATAGATATAATACTTTACCAAATATATCAATTAGTAGGCGGTTTCCCGGTAAAAATTGTATCATCACGTATAGTCAAAACATATTCTTTCACATGGTTGGTAATAAGAGCTTTTATTTCATTTTTTTGAAAGGGGGCGTTTCCAAAACTGGTCTTTACCTTTAATGTCTCTTCAAAAGTGCTCGAACAAATTTAGCATTGCGCAATGCATATCAAGGGAAAATTTGTCTTGGTGCCCGCCTAGGTCTCTTTCACACGGCTTACAATGCAGTGCATGCAATCTATAGCGTTAGTATCTCCTTCCTTTCTGTGCACGCGGCTATACTTACACTGGCAAGTTGGGATGGTACTGCTCCAAGTGTGATCTTCTTGGCATGCCAAATCTTCGCTACCTTGAAGATAGTATCCCTCTGAGCAAATAAAGTGGCATTGGTTACCCGATGGCACTTGTCTTCCTGACGGACAGTGGGAAGTGACAGAAATCTGAAGACCGGTGGATAATAGCGGTTTGGAACAGTATAATCCTGCATACATAGGTAAACACAAAGAGAACTCGAATGTCTTCAAATAGTTGCTTGATTTGGAATTTATTACAAAATCACTTACATGTACATTTGTTTATATTCAATACAACTTATATACATATTATTAGGTAACTGGAGCTGAGTAGCAGCACGATAATCGTGGATTGCCCAAAGGAAACCTGTCAGTATTTAAAATCGAATGCAATCACATTTTAAATATCTTGTTGAGGTCTACAATCAAATTAATGTTCATATCATTCAAGAAGGTATTAACAAACGCTATTTACAAACGAAGAAATAAAAATAGAAATTAAATCTTTTATCTATAGCTTTAGATTTAATAAATATCACAATCATGCAGTAAAACATGGTCATCAAGTGGAAATTTCTGTCATGCTGTGTGAAATCTCATGCGGCTTGTTATATTTCTCATATTGCTAAACACTGCTTGATGGGGTAAAAAGTGAATAATATGTTGTGAGTCATAGTCGACACTTTATACAACTTATCGCGAATTGATGGCTTTGATTGTGTAGAAAAAGTTTAATTTTCTTAACATCCAGAAGCTCTTCAGCCCCGTCTTCAGCATAAATAATTTGATGTTAATTTTTCAGATTCGCATGGTTTACTTGAAGAAAAAAGGTAAGAGTGCCCTTTGTCAATCGATATCGACGTTTTATTTATGAAAAAACATAATGGGAACCTACTGATGCAAACTGGTGACTCGCCATCCCAGAATACAGATGAGCTTCCAGGCTGAGCAACGCAAGTAAGAACGTCATTGCTGATTTCATATCCAGCATGGCACTCAAAATGACAGCTAGATCCGTAGTCCCTGCTGCAATCTTCCGCCGTTCCACCATTTTCTAAAGAAGGTAGTTCTTCACACTGCGTGACTGGTGTAAAAACGCATAATATATGGTAAACTACATTACAGACCAAAAGCCGACAATGCCTAGAGATGTTTTGAGCTTTTGTTTAAAGAATATGAATCAAAGATAATTTAACATATGTTGCTAGCTAGGTCTTCCTGCTTTATAATTACTGATAATAATGATGATGATAATAACATATAATATTAAAAATTGTAACAATAATTATTGTGATGATAATACATGCGTAATAACATTAGTAATAAAAATGGAATACTTTTAATTATTAGAGTATATTATAGAAATCATAATAATAATGATTACAATAACGAATATTTCTATTGCTTACATATCTACCACACAAGATGCTGCGGGCGCTACAAATTTAACCCCGGCTCTCATAGGCTACCGAGTTTGGTGCTCACAACATTCAATAAATACCTTCTTACCGTAGCATATACAGTGCTGTAATTTTTTTTCTCCAACTTTGGTAGTTTATAATTTAAAAATGTATTACATGTGTGACCTTGAATCAAATAATATTGTAACGAAAAACTAACACCCTGTCTAATAATACCATTTTCTTAATTGTGCTTTTCAGAAAGTATTATTAAAACCCCCTTGTACCTAGTTTAGGCTGAAGCAATGAATGTGGGTCAAAAGCCATTATGTGTGTGTCACCTCATTTAAAAAGTATTGCTCCTTTATGAAAATTCACTACTAGTATTAGCAGTTGAAATACAAAAGTGTTAACATCAACTCAAACTCAAAGAAATGCTTGTTACAAGTGAAATAAATGATATTCTTTTCGTTATGACGATAACAGTCTTGACTTCATTTGCAACCCTTGTTTATGGTAACCTTCTAATTGAGTGATACACAATTGACAAATTTTTTCAGAGATGTTATCTTTTTTTTAATGAAAGTTGTTGTCAATTTCTTTGATATTTATCATCATAAATGTTTTTCCTGCATTTGAGTCTAGTAACCTTTGAGTTGTTGATCGCTTTTTGAGATAAACACCTTTAATATGCTCCTTACGCGTGTGGAATGGCGCAGTGGACAAGTGAGCAGAGATAATTTAGATATCATGAGATAAGAAGTTAGTAGGTTTTTAAAATTAATTAAAGGTTATGCTGTTGATTGAACAAGGTTTTGTAAAAGCCTAGTTACATTTCATCATTTTAAACAATGAAGCCCGAGGCACAATTTAACTTTGAAAAGGGATTGAGACCAAATAAGCACATGCATATGGCCCGAATTGTATTGGTCCCTAAAGCCCAAATTTGCATCAGGCGATTTTAACAACAGTACTGGTGCTCATTCACCCGTGGCAAAATATTATGAATAAGGTATTATTTAATAGAGAATAATTCACTCTTCATCGTGACATTTTATAGTCAAAGGCCCGGATTCACTAAGGAGGTTTGTTGACAAACCAAGGTTTATGTGCATCATATGACACGTTTCGACGCGTTTTTTTTTTTACAAACCTGGTTTGTAAAAACGCGTCAAAACGTTTCATATGACGCACATAAACCTAGG